ATCACTCCCGGCGCCCTCGACTAGTGGTGCTTGGCCCACTCACCACTTGTTTCCCCAACTGTTGTACTGCTGATTGCCGGAGCGGGGGCTGCGAGACCTGTGCTGATAATCGGCGCCCGCCGTGCCCTTGGGGCGCTTGGCCGGCGACCGGACAGGCCGGTTGTCAGCCTCTGTGCCGTCGGAACTCTTCTTGCTTCCCTTGCCGCCCTTGTCGGTGACGCCCTTGGCGCAGCCTTTGGGCTGACCCTTCGACTGCTGCCCCTTAGCTGTCACAGCCCGGCCAGCCTCCGTGAAGCTTTTGTTTACTTTGTCTTTGGCGTCAGCTAGGTTTTCACGATCGATCTTGGCGAAGTAAGGCGCCAAATCTACGACGTCTTCCTCCAGAGCCCTGGCCATGGCCCTCCTCTGGAGAACATCGTATTGATAAGCTGTCCTGACTCCACCGTGTTCCTCGGCGATTCGCACGATGTTGTGGGCGTACGCAAGGAAGTCAGCCATGCTGCATGCCTTGGTGAGGATTACCTTGAATCCCCACTCGTGCAGGTGGCCCATGAACGTGGCAAAGCCAGCGTAGTCGACTTTGTCCATCCACGCCATGTTCCGCTTGGCGGCAGCGCTCTGCTTCACCCGCTCCTCGTAAGAGCCGTCCCCCACGACAGCGTCGATCATAGGAGTCCGGCTCCAAGTTGGGCGGTGGTGATCGCGCAGATCCTCGCCCTCGGCGGACCCGACCCACGGCCTGCCTTTGTCGTGCGCGATCTTCCCCGCCGCCTCGAACTTCGCGAGGACCTCCTCTGACGGGAGTGCATCCTTGGCGAAATGCTGCATGCCCAGCTCGAGTTTCCGGTCCTGCAACTTGAAACTGAGTCCTTTCGGCTTCCCTTTCTGCAGCGCCTGCGACTGAAGTTCCGCAAATTGCTTCACTGCTTCAGCCATGCCCGAAAGCTCTTTGTTGTTGTGGGCCACCTCTGGTGGCACCGATGGTCCTGGCGAGGCTTTCTTCGCGCGCGCCCCCTGCACCTTGAGTGCCAAGACAATCTGCGCCGGCGAGACTTTCCAGCTCTTCCACGGGTCGTCCTGTTCGGTGGCATACGGGGTGGCGTGCACGGGAATGCTCGCCTTGATCATGTCCCGCATGTGGGGGTCTTCGAAGTCGGCTGGCGCGATGCTGCCCCCCGTCTCGGACAGCAGCCGCGCGACAGACACGTAGTGGAAGAGATCGTGCTTCTTGGCGGGGTCGACGTCGACATTGATGACGAAGTCCACCCACTCACGCACCTGATCTGCACCTGCGCCGTTGAAGGCTCCACTGGCGGCGGTGGCGATCATCGCCGTGACGTCACTCGGAGAGAAAGACATCTTCCCTCGGACGACGCGTAGAATCAGATTGCTCTGCGTGCTAGGACACAAATCTGCAATTCAGACACCTTGTCTGAGCCATCACGGTTACAGTGGACAGCTGAAGGATCTCCCCCCGCAGGTGGATACCTGGCCTCTCTTCCGACGAGACAAAGAGGAGAGTGGCCTCAGGCATGGTGAGAGCAACCGCATTTCCGATTCCTCAAACATGCAGGCAGGCAGCCCCTCCAAAGATGCCTTCAACCAAGATTTCCCTTCGCAAAATCAGTTATGACGCCGCCTGCTGCCGCCGCCAAAACACGCGACAGCAACCTGTGAGAGGCTGGGCAAGGTCTGAGCTGTGAGAGGGCAGATTGCCTGAGGCGTGCTCGTCTGAGCTAGTGCGGCACAACGCACGAGACAAGCGACGACAACCTGCTCAGGCGCGGTCTGCACTGCGGGGCAAAACGTAGCCAGCGCTGATTGCGATGCTTATCCCCCTCCGCAGCCTGAGTGCACCACCCAGGCCTCCGGAGGGCGTCATAAGCGCGCCTGCCGAGCGCTGCGTGCGACGCTGCCCCGGTGGAGAACCTGCCTTGCCGCGCTGGCTCCCTGCAGCTTGACGGTGCTGGGCTGCCGTCAGAGAAAGGATTCCCCTGACGCCACCACGCCGCCGACGCGATTCAACTTTGTCGCCGCCGCCGCCAGAGGACACAGAGCAGATTTGAATGATGAGATGGATGAGTGAGCGCCCATCTTTGGGGCGAGCGCGTCCGCCTGGACGCGGCGCGAAGGGGCTTACGCTCGCCCTTCGCGATAGAATGCTGTCCGTTGCCGCGGAGCAGGCGAATCCGCCTCCAAACGGTTTCTTTCCTGGTGGGTCGTCTGGGTGACCTCCTCCTTTATGTGAGGCGCGCCGTCTTGGCGGGCAACGCCGTTACGGCGACTCGCTAGAGGGCGTGCGCAGCTCAACTGCGCGCTATTGCAACGACGCGAATGTCAGCTTCGCCTCGGAGCTAAGGCAACAAGGAACGCAGCCAAGGAACTGCTTGCTGAGGCGCTTCCGACCCACGCTTCTTTGGCGCCCATTTTTGGGGCCGAAAATCTTCCGAAATCCGATGGGCCGAGTTCCCATGGGAAATCCGTCCAGCTGCGATCTCAGCCGCCGTATTTTCAGCAGCCACACCAGAATTTAATTCTGAGTTCGCGGGTGAAAGGGCGTCAGCATGGATATTCCGATTACGCGCCGTTTGGACGCAGGCCCCCCGGGGTCGGTCGAGGACGGGCGTGCTGCGCAAATGCAAAGCACCCCCGCCCCCGTTGTGTGCAGGTGGGGGATTAGCAAATGCTCCCCCATCAAGGACTAGCTTCTGCCGCCTGCACACAGCCGACCCCGAGTGCCCCAGAGTGTGTCCGTAGCCCCTGCTTCTGGCTCGCGCGGTCGAGACGGCCAGGTCACTGCATGTTTGGCGCGCCTGGGCACCATAATGCAGAAAGGAACTGAGAATGCGATATTCTGGCGCGCGAACGCCCAGGAGCACTAAGTCGCACTCAGGTTGCGAATCTGGGTGCGCCAGGGCACCAGAAAGCAAAAGGGAGACTCACAATGCAATTTCGCGCGGACGCCCACGAGCGCTAATGTGCGCTGAGCTTGCGAATCTGGGCACGCCAGCGCAGTAGAACGCAGAAAGGCGTTCAGAATGCCATTTTGGGCGCGCGAACGCTGAGGAGCGCTTTGCTGCGCTGAGATTGCGAATCTGGGCGCGCCTGCGCTCCAGAACGCAGAAGGGACACAGAGTGCAATTCTGGGCGCGCGGACGCCACAAGCGCTCAGATTGCGAACGTGGGTGCGCCCGGAATCAAAACCCAGAAAGGCGCTCAGGATGCAATTTTTTAGGCGCGCGAACACCCGGGAGCGCTGAGTCACGCTCAGATTGCGAGCCCGGGTGCGCCTGGGCACCAGAACGCAGAGAGGAGCTCAGCATGCAATTCTGGGCGCGCGGATGCCCAGAAGCCTTCAGACTGCGAATATTGGTGCGCCTGGTCACCAGAACGCAGAAAGAAGCTCAGAATGCAATTCTGGGCGTGCGGACGCCCAACAACGCCAAGTCACGCACAGATTGCGAACCCCGGTGCGCCTGGGTACCAGGCCGCCGAAAGGCTCAGAATGCAATTCTGGGCACGCGGACGCCCTCAGACTACGAATCTTGGTGCGCCTGGCCACCAGAACGCAGAAAGGAGCTCAGAATGCAATTCTGCACCAGAACGCCGAAAGGAGCACAAAGTGCAATTTTTGGGCACGCGGACGCCCACGAGCGCAAAGTCGCGCTCAGACTGCGAATCTGGGTGCGCCTGGCCACCAGAACGCAGAAAGGAAGGAGCATAGAGTGCAAAACTGGCACTCGAATGCCACCCCAGTGCACAGTCGCGCTCAGACTGGCCGGCACAGATCTGGGAATGGCAGGCGGCGAGGGCCAGAGAGAGAGCACGGCCCCCACGAGGGCAGCAACGACGCACTCTACATTTCACCACAGGCGGCAAGGACCAGCGAGAAAGTAGCCCTCAGGGCGGGGTGCGAGAATGGCGCTCAGCGGCGCCAGAAATGCACTGAGGACCGCACCCACTGGAAACCAACAAGGAGCCTGCGCCCCGGGACGCCTGGTCCTCTTGCGAAGAGGGCCAGAGAGCGTAGCTCGACAGGCCTGGGTTTGCCGCTCGCGAGGAGGCAGGAAACCTCCACGCCGCACGAGGTAAAGCCCGCGAGAAGGCAGCGACCCCAAAGTGACACTGGGTGCAAAGCTTTGCCCGCGAGAAGGCAGCGAGGTAACCTGCACGGAGCATGCCACACGGAACCCGGCAGAGCCCGGGAGACGTGCGGCCTGAGTTTGCCCGCGAGAAGGCAGGGACTTTGGGTGTGCCCGCGAGAAGGCAGGGACCTGGGTTTGCCCGCGAGAAGGCAGGGACCCCGAACTTGCCCGCGCAGGCGGAACCAGGGAATGAGAAACACGGTGGCCTGAGTTTGCCCGCGAGAAGGCAGGAAGTCTGGGTATGCCCGCGAGAAGGCAGGGACCCTGGGTTTGCCCGCGAGAAGGCAGGGACCCTGAACTTGCCCGCGCAGGCGGAACCAGGGAATGAGAAACACGGTGGCCTGAGTTTGCCCGCGAGAAGGCAGGGACTCTGGGTATGCCCGCGAGAAGGCAGGGACCCTGGGTTTGCCCGCGAGAAGGCAGGGACCCTGAACTAGCCCGCGAAGGCGCAACCAAAACCGCCGCCAGGCGGCTGCTGCCCGCCCTGCGGGCGCCGTCCCACGCGGAGAGCGTTCGGTCACCAGAGAGCCTGAGCAGGCGGCCCCTGCCGACAAGCTCTGAGGCACGTGCCTGCGAGGGAGCGGGCAGTGCCACAGCGCACCAGGCCGTCGCTCGTGCTTTGGCCTGGCTTGGCCCTGCTCCCCGCAGAGACCGAGAGCGCCTCCTGTGGGGCGACCAGAACGGCTGACCCAAGAGACTAGCACCGAGAATACTTCCGCCTCCGAAAACGCAAGCCGGCCCGCCAGGAACCGCTTGCCCGCGAAGCAGGCGCAGAGGCGTGTGAGCGGGAGCAGAGGAGGTGAAGCGAGCACGCTTGGGCCTGCTCCACATGATTTTCCTGTGCCGGAAAAGAGTTTACGCTTCATGAAAATTCGCGAAGCCCATAAAGCCGATCCGCTCCTCGATGGTGCGGGCCCGCTTCGCTTCCCGGGCTTCCGTGACTTTGTCACCGATGGTCCCGCTGCCCACGAGGACGTCCAGTTTAGGCGTTTTCGAAAAGCCTGGGCGGAAGTTCGCAAGCAGATCTTCTCCCTCAGAGGAGCCCACCCATTTCCGGCCCTTATCCCTGGCAATCTTCGCCGACGGGAGATTCTCCATTCGGAGAAGAGCCTCTTCTGTCGGGAGTAAATCTCCTTGGACGCACCGGAGCCCCACTTCAGCGATCCTGTCCTGCAAGTTGAAGCTCAACGTCCCGCGCTTTGCTTCTTTCTCCGCCTTGGCGTTTTGCACCTTGGCCCACTCTGCAATGGCCTGGGCAGTCTGGTCCGCGGCGCTGCTGGAGCCCGGGCAGCCCGACGGGAACTCACGCATCGCCTTCGTTTGGACCTTGAGGGCCAAGGTGATGTGGGCAGGTTTGAGCTTGAAGTTTTTCCATTGCTCATCTTGGTCCTGGTCGAAAGGAACAGCGTTCACTTGCAAGCTACTGATGACAAAATCACGCATCTTCTCTTCTGCGTAATCAGTGGGCTCCACTGACCCAATGGACTCGGCAAGCGCCCGGGCCGTGCCCGCGTGAAGATGAGCGGGTGAGTATCTGCTGGGGCATCCTGCACAGACGCCACGAACTGCACCCACTGAGCTACCTTGTCGTTCCCGCTCCCGCCGAAAGCGCCCTGCCCTGCGGCAGAGACCATGGCGCGGACGTCGCTGTCTGCGAAAGCCATATTGAGTGTGGCCCGTAGAATGAGTACTTGGGGCACCTTTGCTGGGCCGGACGGGCCGAATGAACTTGGCAGCACCTGTCTTTCTGAGCCAACACAGCAACGGGCGCGTGTAGGAAACACAGGGTAATGTCGACAACGCCTGGACCCTTTGGCAACGCAACTGACACGGCCATTCCCTCCGTGGCACATGGGCGCACCGCCGTTTCAGGCTTTCGAGCACCCCCACCTGCGTCCAGCAGCCAGTTTTCCGATCGCGCCCAGCTGTCACAACGGCACGTCGGCCGCTTGAGCCCCAGCGCGAAGGAAGGAAGGGGAGAGAGTCCTCCGCTCCGCTCCGCCTTCCCTGGACGCAAATTCGCACAGCTCTCGCTGCTGCACATCCCGGCGACCCCCCTTCGACGTCCATCGCGGCCAGGGGGGCCACTCGGGTCACCTTGGAGCGAAACCATGCAAGCTACAGCAGTGCCACGCCGATCCCAGTCGAACCCCTTTGACCGCTCAGCGGCCAGGGGAACTACATGGGTCTCCCTGCTCCTCCCCCTCCGCCGGGCCAGAGTGAATAGAGGAGTCATTTTCAGCGCACCGAGGCCTGTTTTGGCCAAGTGGCAGCACGCGAGGGGGCTTCCGCACATCCCACGCTAATGCAGACGGACGTCGTCGCCCTGAAATTTTTCGGACTGCCCGAAAATTGCGCCTAAGAAATCCGCCCGTAGCGGACCAAATGGCCAGCGGCCAGAGCCCAATTTTCACGAGCTACACCAGAATTTGATTCTGAGCTCGCTGGTGAAAGGGCGTCAGCATGGATATGCCCACCACGCCCGTTTGGGACGCGGGCCCCCCGGGGTCGGTCGAGGGCGGGCGTGCTGCACAAGTGCAAAGCACACCCGCCCCCGTTGTGTGCAGGTGGGGGGTTAGCCAATGCCCCCCCATCAAGGACTAGCTTCTGCCGCCTGCACACATCCGACCCCGAGCGCCCAGAGTGTCCGTAGCCACTTTTCCTTGCTCGTGTGGTCCGCGAAATCGCGCCCCGGACGATTGTCGCGCAGCTGTCCTATGCTCCAGTGCCCCCAGGAGCGCGAATTTGCGCTCAGATTGCGAATCTGGGCAGTGCCAGAACGCAAAAACGAGCTCAGAATGCAATTCTGGGCGCGCCGACGCGAGCGCTTAGATTGTGAATCTGGGCGCGCCTCGGCGCCAGAACGCACAAATGAGCTCAGACTGCCATTCTGAGCGCACGCCCAGGCGCGCGAAGTCGCACTCAGAATGCGAATCTGGGCGCGCCTCGGTCACAGACCACACAGAAAGCAACTACGGGCGGGACGGGCAGGAACGCGAAATTGCGCTCAGAGTGCGGCTCTGGGCGCGCCTCGGTCCCAGACCGCAGAAAAGAGCTCAGAATGCAGACCTGGGCGCGCTGATGCCTAGAGGCGCGACTCCACGCTCAGATTACATACCTGGGCGCGCCTCGTCCCAAGACCGCAGAATAGAACAGATTGCAATTCTGGGCGCGTGGGCGCCCAGGAGCGCGACTTTGCGCCCAGACTGCGAGTCTGGGTGCGCCCCGGCCGCAGATCGCACAGTTGACCCCGGAAGTCAATTCCAGGCGCGCGGACCTCCAGGGGCGCAAATTTGTGCTGAGATTGTGATTCTGGGCGCGCTTCGTCCGCAGACCGGAGAAAGAGCTCAGGAAACCCTTCCGGGCGCCCGGAACGCGCAGGTGCGTCAGATAACTCATTGGGCGCGCGAGCGCGCGATTGCACCCAATTGGCCCGTCCCGGCGCGCGAGCGCACAATTGTGCTCGAATGGCCCCTTTGGGCGCGCGAGCGCGATTTGCACTCGAACTGCCCGTTAGGGCGCTGCGCGAAATTGCGCTCAGATAGCCCAGTCGGGTGCGCGAGCGCGGGTTACCACTCAAGACGCGCGAGCGCAAAATTGAGCACAGTTTGCTCGTTTGGTCGCGCAAGCGCGACTTGCACTCGAATTGCCCTTTTGGGCGCGCCAACGCAAATCTGCACCCATTCGTCGCGCGAGCGACATTGCACCAATAGGCCTGTTGGGCGCGCTGGCGCAAAATTGCACCCAGATTGCCCGTCCGCGGGCGCGCGAGAGCGAGATTGCATCCAGTTGACCCATGCGGGGCGCGAGCGCGAAATTGCACTCTGATTGCCCGTCTGGGCGCGGGAGCGCGGATTGCACCCACTTGGCCCGCTCGGGCACAAAATGCTCCCAGTTTGCCCAGTTCGGCACGAACAGGGAAATTGCACACAGACTACCTCCTATGAGTGCGTGAGCATGGAAACGCACTCCACTGGCCGAGCTGGGCGCGCGGCGCAGCTGGGCGGCAAATTGGCGACGAGGAAGGCGGATAGGCGACGAGGGCGCCGGCAAGAACACAAGAGCACGCACTGCGCAGCGGCCCAAGCCGAGTGCGCCACGCGGGCAGGCACGTACGCAGGGACAGGCCTGCGCGTTGCGCAGCGACCCTGGGTTTGCGCTGGGACCACGGCCGCAGTGATAGTCGAAGCAGCACGCCTGGGCGCACGGAAAAAAAGAGCATCGCCAGCTCAGGTTGTCGACAACGGCTGCCCGATGGTCGGATCGGCGATTCGATTCCATGCGCGTCGCAGGTGCGGGTCGTGATGTGCTGCGAATTCCGCGCCCCTACTTGGATTGCCGATTCGGGGGGGGTTCGATGCTCGAGCGAACCGTCCAGAGTTTCCGCGCTTGGATGGACGGGTCGAACCTGTCTCATCACGGTGTCGCTCGGATTGGGGTCCGATTCCGCGCCAATCGCCGATTGGCGCTTGGGTTGTTCATTCACTCGCTTTTCCGCGTTTCCGTGCTCAGATGCCGCATCCTACCGCGCGTTGCACTGCTCAGTAGTCATTTAGGCGCAAGCTGGCATGTTGGATTTCATTGCGCGCAGTCGTGAGGCCCACGCTGCGCTGCCTCCTGCTGCCGCGCAGGCTGCTGAAGGGTCTCCTGGTGCTGAGGGCGCTCCCAGCAATATTGCCGCGGCTCCCACTCTGTTCCACAGCCTCATTCGGCAAGTGGCGTCTGCGAGTCCGCCAGGGCCAGCTGCTGACGTTCTGCACGCGGAGCTTCTCCGCGCCGGCGCCGACGGCGCGGCCGATTTCGATGGCTTGTCAGTGGAAGACGCGCAGGAGATCTGGCAGCCCCTGGCAGCTTGCTCGAGGCAGTTTGTGGCACGGTTTCTGCAGCTGTGCCGGGTGCAGGTGGCCAGGCCAGTTCGGCAGTCAGAGGCTTTGTCCAGCACAGTTGTCGGGGCAACGTCATCGCTAGTTTCGCAGGTGCAGCCTCATCAGAGTCGTTCCCAGTCCCCCACTCGGGATGCGCGTGGGCAGGCTGCGCTCGCTCTCGCTGCCCGGGCGCGGCGTGAAAGACAACCCCTTCCCCCAAAAGTGGCTGCTGAGGCTATCAGAGATCTGGCCCGGATGGCAGATTACCCCGCTGCTGGTGTCAACCTGCTGCCCCGTGCGGCTGCCAAGCGAGCGCGCGGTCAGGCGGCAGTGCAAGCGAATTTCGAGGAGCGTGCGACTTGGCTGGAATTCTGCAATTGGAGGAGGAGTGCTTCGTCGTATGCAGCTGCAGTTGAACTTTGGGGCGAGGCTGCTGCTCTGGCGGGCGCGCAGCCGTGGCCGCCACAATACCCGGCTGTGTGCGTTTTCAGCACGTTCTTTCGCAATAGTGCATCCCTGGGGAGATATTGTTCGCATATTCGTTCTGTGCTGGCGCTGCAACGTGCTCCACTTGGCGATTTGGCGGACACTAGCCGGCTCGTGCGAGGAGCAGAAAAGGCATGTGAACGGCCGACCCGCCCCAGAGTGTGGGCCACAGCTGCCAAAACAATAGCCTTGACCACGTGGGCGAGAGCAGCAGGCCGCCAAGACATAGCATGGTCGTGGGTGGTTGCCAGGAATTTTTGCCTTCGGTATTCGTCTGAGTGCTTGGCGCTTGGAACAGAGACAGCGCCGTTCCGCATCGAGAGCGCTGGCTCCAGGGTGTCAGTCGTGATCACCTTCCCGCGGAATAAAATGCTACAGTGCGCCAGTGGAGGTGACTCGGAGGTGCGCTTGCGCTGCCAGTCGTTTGCCTCTCTGCGGCGTTTGCGCCCTCAGCGAAGCAGCCGCGCAGAATGCAGCGCCCTTCAGCGGGATCAGGTATCCAGAGGCACTCGGGTTTTTGAAAGCTGGGGCGGCCGCGCTCGGGCACCCAGACGCCGCGGCATGGGGGACTCACGCATTCCGCCGAGGTTTCGCCGATGACGCCTTGCGCGCGGGGGGCCCGTCAGCATTGTTCTGGTCTGGAGGCTGGAAAGGACTGGCCGCGTTTGGCTACGCGACAGCGCGGTCGCGAGGTGCTGTGGCCGCGGCCGATTGGCTGGTGCAGTATTCTGATTCGAGTGGTGAGGACTGACGCGTGCCTGTTTGCGTGCAGAGGGCCTTTTGCGAGTGGTGCAAAACAGGCCCGCGCGCTTGCGCGCATTGTCCGCGAGCCCTTCCTGGATGCATTGGGCCTCTGGAGATTTCCAGTCAGGGCCTCCCGGCGGCGCCGTTCTCGTTTGCCACATGCTGGCGCGGGGGCGCCGGCCGTTAACGGAGAGAAGGTACGCCCGCAAAGTAGCGGTTTGCGGGGCAGGAAAATCTGCAGGGCGGGGCTGCACTAATCTCTATGCCTCCCTGCTTCTCTGGTTCCCCTGGGTAGTGCCCGTGGCCTGGTTGCCCCCAACAGGGGGCTGCGGCTCACACGCCTGGGCGGCCTCGCCTCCCGTCCGCCTCGCTCTTCTTCTTCTTCGCTGTCGTCGGCTGGCTGGTTGGTTGGTTGATTGGCCAGGGGCAGCTGGCTCGCTGGCGGTGCTGGCCCCCTAGCGGGAGCAGTCCCGCTGGTGCTTGCGCGAACGAGTCCGTGCTGACTCTGGGCCGCGGCCTGCCCTCATGGGCGTCGGTCTGTCGCCGCGGAAGGATGCCCTTTTTCCCAG